AGACACAAAAAGTATTACGTACTAAGAAAACCTATTATTATTTTATTTATTTCATGCTAATTAAATATTAGAAACAAATATTTTTTATAGAATGTTTAAATCACATTTGAAAAATATTTCTTTACGCTCTGAAATATTTTCTATTCACTGATCAATGAAAACTCAGATCATAAGTTCTAAAGTTTATTCATATTTATTAAAAATATAATATTAGTAACTTTTTGGGTGTTAGTGGTGTCATATATAGACACAAAAAGTATTACGTACTAGGAAAAACTATTCTTATTTTATTTGTTTCATGCTATTTAAATATTAGAAACAAATATTTTTGAAATAATATTTAAAAAATATTTCCTTTTGCTCTTAAATATTTGCTATTCATTGATCAATGAAAATTCATGTAATATGTTCTAAAGTTTGTCCCACTTATTAAAATAATATACCAGTAACTTTTTGCGTGTTAGTGGTGTTATATATAGATACAAAAAGTATTAGGTACTAAAAAAAACTATTATTATTTTATTTGTATCATGCTAATTAAATATTAGAAACAAATATTTAAGAAATACTTGTCTTTGATCTGAAATATTTAGCATACATATAAATATTTCCTAAATATGTATGTAATATTTTGTGCTATCTGGGTTAGGACAGAAACCTAGAGAGATAACAAATAAAAACAAAGCATAACAGAAATAATAATTTATTTATGCAAATAATACAATCAGTTTCTTATTCGATGCATTCTTCAACCAAACAATACGTCCTTGCGGTGCGTTGATACCATGTAGCGGAATCCCTGAATGTTCTGGTACGCTCTTCACTTTCAAAGTCCACTTGGATTATTCCAAACCTTTGCCTGTAATCAATTCTATTTGTGAAACCCTGTCTGTCCACAGAATGTATATATAAACACTTACGTGTAACCTCGAGCCCATTCGAAGTTGTCCATCAAACTCCAGGTGGTGTAACCGCTAACCTGGACTCCGTCCTCTAAAATAGCGTCCAGCATGTTGCTCAAATACCCCTGGAAAAGTAGAACGAAATAAGCCACAATTAGCCGTTTAACTGGCAATCACTTACTTGCAAGTAGTCGACTCTGAGCTGATCAGAAATATCAGCTTCACTAGCCCAACCGTTTTCTGTCACATAAATTTCCCCAGGAGTGTAGTGGTTCCAAACATAGTTCAACAGTCCTCTCATACCTACAAAAGTCGGGTATTTAAAAAATAAAATAGATACTCAATAAGTGGAAGCCTACCATATGGGTATGAAACCAACCAAGATGCCACTGACTTGGTCCAGTCCGCTCGGGAACTGGTTGAAGTTCCTTTGTCGTTATAATAGCTGGCGGAACCACCGAATCCTGGCTCATCAATTCCCTGGACAGCTAAAGCAGTGTAGCTGCAAAAAAATACATAGAATAAAGTGGAAGACGCAGAAACGTTTTATAGGGCTTACATGTTAAGTCCAAAGTAATCATGAGTTCCTCGCACAAATTCCACTTCTTCAGCAGACCAGGCAGGCAATCTGGATTTGGAATATCCTTCTTGTTCGCTTCTCCTGCCAATTCTTTCAATCATCACCTGCGGCCAATCGCCTACGTAAACCGGATTTGCGTACCAGCCAAGCTAAACAAATATTTTCTGGTTATCAAGTTTTCTTAAATTTCCAATTTCTGTGTGTCTGGGGATTTTATGCGCAAGTTTCACCGTTTTTCAAAAAATAATTAATTTTTGTAGAAAACATCTATCTGGAAGATATTCAAGGTAATACAGACCGGTAGAATTAATTAAATATTTTGATTAGTGCCGAGTTCAGTGGCTCAAAGAGCAAAACATTACTGAACTTAATATCATTCACACGGCATCTGTTAAGAAAATTCATTTTCAAGACGTATGAACTTTTTTGTCTTTTTTACTACTTATTTATTCCATTTAGGTAAAATACTTTCAACTCTGAATGCTAATGCTATGATGTGCACTTTAGATAATATGGTAAGCGGGAGAGCCTGGGCTGGAAAAACCCAAACTAATCAGTGGAGAACCTTTTCCGCATAAAATTATGGAGAACCTAAAAAAAAACATGAAAAAACTCCAAAAGTATAACAAATGGACGCCTTTTCACATTTCTCTAAATGCTATAAAGCTCTACATTTACTTGTTACCTTTCATTCGTGATTGGAGCCTCAAGTATTTGATTAATGTAAGTAAATTGTAGTCTATCAATCCTGTGCCTAAATGATAAAGTTAACTACTTGCAAAGGTTTCGGTCTTTGCAAATATATCAACATCAAGCGAGCGAAACTGCGAAGAATTTTTTTTTTGTTGTCCCTAAAGATTCATCTACACCTTCTCCGAATAGTGATGTTAACTCTTAATCACCCTGTTGTATGTAATAATGAGATCCGTTTTTGGAAAAGTTCATACGCGAACTATTTCGTAGATAAGTTCTATATTGTTGAGGCGGATTCATTTTTTTACAAACTTCTTTTTGGGTATTTCGCCTCAAAAATGTTTGTCTTTAAAAAAGACAGAATTTCCTCA